GAAATGAAAGGCAGCGGAGTCCGGCTAGGCTTTGCGGAGTAGATGCCAGGTGCTCCAACTCGCAAACCTTCCAGCGAAGCGATTGGGAAGGATGGGTAAGGAGACAAAGGATAAGAGACTGAGCTGGTCAACGAAAGAGAGTCTTGTAGATTGTAGTAAGACGTGGCGAATGGACAAGCGGAGTCTAGCTGGTAGTGAGACAACGGATGGTTTGACAAGCGCTGCAGCGGATGGCAGGTTGCGTTGCGATGCAGAGTGCTGCAGTCAACTAGGGCTGTAGTGAAGCAGGCCGGAAGCGCTGACGGGGTGGGGGCAACGGCACGGAGCTACTTCTGACGATTGCCGGCGAATGGTACCTCGTACAGGACCCTGATGCGTGGATCGCTCTCTCAGCCAAGTTAGCCGACGGTCAAAGGGACGGGATAAGTGCTAGTAGCAGCAGTAGTCGTGAGTGTAGGATTGCAGTCACAGTGCAGCGCAACGCAACGAGCGGGCCTCTGAGGTGCTGCACTGTATGGAAGCTGCCGAGCGAGCCCCGGCCTTTGCAGGAGAGACCCATTGGTGATATGTACATACCCGCCGTGCACTCTGTGCAGGCCAGAAGGATGAGTGGAACAGCAGCAGCATGCAGCGACGAGTGATGCTGCCGATGCACGACACGCATCCCTGACAGGCCTACTCACAATGCGCCAGCACCGTCACGATCATGGCTGGTGAATGATTACTACTACCACTAGTAATCAGAATAATAATGCTCAAAAACTACTCTTTACCCTATACCGGTGCTATGTCCTCTATGTACCACTCACCACTGGACGCACACTCACACGCACACGCACACTGCAGTGCGGAGCGGCCGTTCCTCATGCACGAACGCATGCGAGGTTGGGCCGCTATCAATGAACCGGTAACGGTCCTCCTTCGGCAAGCGGCAACGACTTGCCTCGTCTGTGAATGGCCTAGGCTCAACGTCCAGCCGGCTCCCGTTGGGCAGGTACGGTACACCTGCACATGTCGTCTTTGCACATTCACATTGGTGCCGACGTTGTCCAGGGAGCGCCGGCGCGGAACCTCTTCACGACGGAAGTACAATTTCCGTGTCGCGCTTCTGACTCATGACTTGAATGCTAGTGACCTCAAGTCACTGAGTTGCCGCCTCTTAGTCCAGTAGTCTTTCAGAAAAAGATACCGGACAAAGTCTCGTCACTCGCGAATCAGAACGATGCCGCTCGCACCGCGGACGCGCTTGACTCGCGACTACCTCTTCTGACGCAAAAGCAACTTTAGCGGAATCCCACGGCATCCAAGCGATCCCTAGTCTAAAATTGAGGGTCAGCGGAATTTCGCTTTGTGATACCGATTGAGAGTCAGCGGCATGAGATTTCACTTGCTTCGCGTTCTAGTGCCCGAACGAGTTGTGAGCGTGGTGTCATGCAAGGTGCGCAATCCTTCCCGATGGGAAGCTACGCTGTTCGAGCCCGCGAAGTCGACACTATACGAGCATTTTGGTCGACGGGCAGCGCGCATCTCCCTTGAGAAGCCCCTTCGTCTAGAATGGCATTCGACATTGGCACGCTGCGTATTCGGGCAACGATGTGAAAGCCAGAGCGTCGACGAGGGAGTGAAGACGGAGGCACCAAGTGCAGCTTTAGCAAGCGTGTGAGTGTGAGGATTGGGCGCGCTGCTCTTGGGCTGCACAACACGTTCCTGTGCCTGCATCGAGTGCCTAGCTACTGCAGGCTGCCGGGGGTGCAGGTGAGCATCAGTCCAAAGTTCAGTCCAAGTCCACGCAGGCACTACTCCCGCTAGGCATCTACTTCAGCGAGGAATCTTCACGGCACTCTTCAATCTTTTGAAATGTTTCCATTCTTTGCATCTCACGCCTTACCGTGCAATTGCGAATCGTTGGAGGGTCCTCTGCAGTGATTGACGCCAGCAGCCGGAGAGGCCTGCGTCGTCAATGAAGCTGGCTCTAGCGAGCTCTTAGACAGGTGCTCATGTGGTCTTGAATCTTGTGCACGGTCCATGCGAGTTCCAAACTTTACATTCATCTCCGCATTGGACCGCGCAGCTCGGTTTGACAGCTCTTCGGCTGCTGGTCAAGGCTCGACAAGCTGGGCAACGAAGGGACGCTTCCGCATCACAGGAACGCCGGCAGCACCTTCAAGCCAGACTCTTGGTATTTATCATTCGCAGATCACTAGTGTGTGAGTCCGCGCTGCGACCTCACTGGGATGTCGCACTTGGTGGTAAGTGTGGCGCAGGTACATGCCCACAAGTATCGAGCCGCCGAGACATCCAATCCCATGGTTGTGTACGTGACATGGCTGCGCTTTGAGCGTCTACAGTCAAAAGTCACGGTATAAAGCATGGTCGGTCGCATTGCAGCTGCGCTCAGATGATGTAACCCGCATGATGGGTCGCTGTGCACTAACGCCGGTGCTGTTATCTGCTTGTCCTCGAGCCTCGATGAAGCCGTTGTGAGGCTTCCGCACGTCTCCTGGCCTATAATCAGGAAGGTGGGGATCGCCGAACCCCCATATTCTGGAGAGTCACGTTCCACGCTTGAGTCGCGATCGTCGAGATCTACCTTCTGCTTTGCCAGCAAGGAGAACGCACCTTCCTCGTCCATCGCGAAGCCGCATCAAGGACTCCGAGCTCGTGACGTACACTGACGCGCCGCATAGCACTCGAGCAAGTCGCTCTTCCAACCCGTTTTTTTTGGAAGGCGCCTTGTTCAAAGCCCTTCGCTGCCTCAAAAGCGTCAGGGAAAAAGAAACCATTGGGGCGAGAAGCGGGTCTCGCAAATGCAGGAACCGGTCGCAAATTCAACTTCCGCTTCTTTCTCCTGCGCTCGATTTTACATCTCAGCTCGGACATCCGTGCGGCGTCCGATCTGCCCGACGACACCCTCTCTTTGTGCTGCACGCTGGTCAGGGGAATGCTCCAGAGGTGTCGTGAGGTACTGTATCTGAGACAAGTGCAATCAGGAATGAGATGCGAGGCGGCAAAGGCAGATATATCCGTTGCGGATCCGGCTTAGAGTTGACCCGCCTCCGCGCAAGTCGTAAATTGTGTATGTGAGTGGGGTCACGCAGCGAACTCGCTGCGAAGCTCCGAATGCGGCAATCTCATGTCAAGGCAGCACGTGGAAGGCATCAGCAACGTCGGAAAAGTGGGTCAACGTACAGACAAGATATGTTACGGCAGTGACGTCGATGTGACTCTCGACTCAAGACTCAACTCGACTCACGACTGCGTCTCGAAGGTATGTTGGCCGGATCGTGTCACGTGACTGCAGTACTCGCGCGCCATGACTCGTTGGCGGCCACACAACCAGGCACAGCAGCATGTATACCCAGCGAAACGCGCCATCTCGCACCAGACCTCCACTCGACTCAAGACTCGCACGCATACTGCGTTACTGAATCACCAATCGATGAGACTTGCAATGACTGCGCGCTGGTCAGCCTCCATCGACTAGCTCTCTTCCAAATGTGATCAGATGGGAATGGACTCGATCCACCATTGCGACTTCGTAAGCAGACGTGCCATAAAAATTGCGCCACCCTTGAGCCTCGGTGCGGCTTTCAAGTGACACAAAAATCGGAATTGCGACGGCCTAGCTCCTCCGAGCCTGATGACTATCATCAGTCAGCCGATCACGACTCCGACCGCTCTACGTTCGGCTGCGCTGAAAGCTCAGCCTGCGCCCCTTCTCATCCGCATTGCGAGACAACGATCAGTCCAAACAAGACACCGGTGCCACGAGGGTTTCAGCCTTCGCGCCATGTCCACCGCGACCTTTTCTCACGCTGCTCAAGCGCGCATCCAGAAGCCTATCAACGCAGCGCTCTTCCAGCTCTCCGTCACGGCCAACAAAGCCCACAATCTGACGCAAGGCCGATCCAAAGTTCTTTCGTACGTCTCTTCCAATCCAAGTGTCAACCTCATCGTCCTTCCAGAAATTTGGCAGTCCCTCTACGGCACGCAGCACTTTGCAACGTATGCCGAAGACTTTGGAGGTCTGTGGGGCAAGATCAAGGGTCAGACTAGCTCGAGGGAGCAAGGTGTAGAGAGAAGCGAGAGGAGATGGAGCATCGACAATGAGAATAGCGCGGGCGCAGTTGAGCTGGGCGAAGATTGCAAGAGCGAAAGCCTGTTGATGTTGAGCAAATTAGCAAAGGAGACGGGTTGCGTCGTCGTTGGTGGGAGCATACCGGAGAGGGAAGATGACAGGCTCTACAACACGGCAAGCGTCTTTGACGAGAAAGGTCAGATAGCAAACGTTCCTCTCTGCATCTTTCTTACCCCCTTGCACACACTGCTGTCTAACGCTCGTCTTCATCCGCCATACCTGCCCCGTTCTAGGCCGAATCATCTCGCTCTTCAGAAAGGTGCACCTGTTCGATATCGACGTGCCAGGCATGAAATTCCAAGAATCCCTGACGCTGTCGCCAGGCGATCAGGTGACTATGTTTGACTGCTGTGCGTGAGCATAGCTCTGGGCGAGTCCAGCGATACATAACTGATCAGCTACTTGTCTGTGCCCTCGACAGCGCTGGGAAGGTTCGGCCTGGCTATATGCTATGATATGCGGTTCCCGGAGCTGGCGCAGATCGCATCGAGGGCCGGAGCATGCGGGATGATCTACCCGGGTGAGCTGCGCATCACGCCTCGACACCCAGAAGCGCTCGCTGCCTCTCACTATTTTGCTCGTCGGCGCGTCCCCCCTTTTCCTTGCACAATGACAGGCGCTTTCAACACAACCACAGGTCCTCGATCCTGGGAGCTTCTACTCCGTGCACGAGCAGCCGATAATCAGCTGTACGTCCTAGGCTGCTCCCCTGCTCGTCCACCCGCTCGCGATCTAGAAGTAGAAAAGTATTACCCTGCGTGGGGTCACAGTACGGTCGTCGATCCCTGGGGCACCGTCTTGGCCACGACCGACGAGACGGATAGCGTAGTGACGGCAAAGTTGGAAAAGGAGATTGTGGAAGCTTGCAGGAAGGGTTTGCCTGTGAGCACTCAACGTGAGTCTTTTTGTATGCCTCGGAAACGCACCTGCGCTCAATTGACAATGCGTCGCTCTGGTGTCTGTTCAACGTGATTGAATAGGTCGCTTTGATCTGTACGCTGACGTCTCGCGAGAGGGCCCCTCAGGCAAGGGCGAGGCGCCGCGATAAATGCCATGCGTTTTCGCTTGCAAGTGGGAAGCTATCTTTCTTTGCGCTCCAACCTCCTGCATCCGCTACATCACCAAATTTGTACGCACAGCGAGACACGATTTGAGATATATCATTGATAAATGCGCGTGAAGAAGAGCATCTGGAAGCTCTCTTCGTGGCCTTGAAGTCGCCACTTGTGACTTGCTGGCGCCGTTGATGATGCTCTTGAATGCGAGGCGATGTGTGATGCGTTTCGTCGCGTGACAGTGATGAGTAGATCTGATATAGCTGATACATGTTGTGCGTTGCTAGAAGCTTTGAGCCGAGATACTTAGGAAATCGGGACGGTCACATGGTTGAGAACAGATACGAGAACTTCGGAGACGGTTTGCGAGTCATTCGGAAAGATTCTGACGAGCTGAATGCCGGGGCTAAAGGAATCACGTGAATAGGGAAAGATCGAAACGGACGGATACGCGCTTTGCAAGATCAAAGCGAGAGTCGGGAGTTCTAGAGTCGGTGCTTAGCGGTGAAGGGTGCGGCAAGTGCTGGATTTTCTGATGGTCGAGCTCAAGGCACCATACGCTCAATCGAGCGCTAGCCTCAATTTAGCTCGCATCGCCGTAGAGGCGCAGTGGTGGAACGAGTGCGACTGCAACCCGTTGGCGAGTTGGGCTATCCAAGGTGACGGAGCGTAGGTCAGTACATTGGGCACCAGGGATGCGGTGATCAGTGGGCTGCTACCCCTCACCTGTTCCGGTGGGTCAGTCCCCGTTCGTGTTGCTGCAGCCGCCGTTTGGGATTCGGGGGGTAGTGG